TCCTTTCCCTTCCTCCCACTCCCCTCTCCTACCCACATCAACATCATATCTGTTCACGTATTTAACAGGCTCAAGGAATTATTGTGATTGTTGTGTTCCCCCCCCATTTGTTTGTTTATATATTTATTTATTTTTATTAGCTCCCACATATAAGTGAGAACTTGTGGTATTTCTCTTTGTGTGTCTGGCTTATTTCACTTAATACAATTTTCTTTAAGTTCATTCGTGTTTGCGGCAAATGGTAGTACTTCATTCTTTTTTATAGCAGAGAAGTATGCCATTGTGTAGATATATGGGAGGAAATTTTGAGAGAGGGAACTAGATGAATATAAGCAGACCAGCCTTTCATATAAAGAGAAGTGCCCAGGTACAACCAGAGAACCCACTATTTCACAAATAAATTTGTCTATTTCTACAGTTCATTATTTCTGGCTCTCTGTCTATATCAGCATCCAGCAAGTTTTCCCCTTGTCTGGTAAGTTAGAATGTTGCTATTTTTTAAACCCCTTTAAAGATTAGTTTTATTGGGGAAGAAAATTGAAAAGGTAGATTCAGAAAATGTCGATGGGAGCACTTTTCCCAAAATATCTGTTGATTATCCCCATGGTATGTGTGCTGGGCTGGGGGAATTGTTCACATTACTTGCCACTCAGAAGTGGCAGAGCTCCACGTCTCGACTCTTGAACTCACAAGATGTAGTAAAGATAAGGGTTGGAAGTAGTGAAGATCAAGGCTGTTTAAGCTTTAACCTAAAGGCCCCCTGGCTCAGTAGAGGCACATTTATTGCATTAGTGGAAGTCCAAAGAAGAATCCAGGAACCAGGAAAAATCTACCTGCCATATCAGTAATAAAATCTCTACTGTTCATTTGCCATTTCTCAGCTCTGCCTTGTATTTTTATTTTTTATTTGTGTATATCTCTTATTTTTATTTAGATTGGATTTTTTTTTTTTTTTTTTTTTTTTTTTTATTTGGGTTTTTTTTTTTTTTTTTTTTTTTTTTTTACAATTCTTTAAGTCACCATTAAAAGCATCTAGCTAGTTCCACAAGACAAGTTTATAAAAATAATCACTGGGACAGGAATTTCAGTTCTCGCAGTCACAGAACCTCCACCCATTGCAATTTCCTGGCCTACTATTTAACCAGGAGGAATAAAATGAGTTTCCAAGAACTAGGGTCAACTAGAGCAGAGGTGGTCTCAAGATTATATGTAATCCAGAACAAAAGGAAAGAATGGGGAGATGAGAATGTAGAATCATGTAGCTCATGCTTTTCCAGACAAAATAAAAATAACGTAGTAAAATTAAATTAAATTAAACTAAATTTAGCCTATTCCTGATTAGCTATTCCTGTCATAATCTGAAAACAAAATAAAGCATACTTTTTCTGTATCCTTAATGGGTCCCCCCTTCTAAATGACATTGTTCAAGCATAGACTCTGTCCTTTTGGAGAAGACGACCACTGAAACTCACCTAAGGTGATTTTTCAAAGAGCCTTTTACAGGCCTTCAAGAGACTTTTAGGGATGCTGAGGCAGTAGCACAATCTGAAGAACTGTGCCACCCCTAGCAAGTCAGCTGATGACTTAGTTTCACAATTATTCTGCTGTATGTCAAAATCTTATTGTAGCAACTGGGGAAAGTTTTGTATTTTGTTCATACACCTCTACCCACAAAAGCCTAAACCTTTTCTCCTTCTAAATTTGGGGTTTTTTACTTAGTCCCTAGAGAGACTTCAGGGTTTTCATGAACTCCTAAATTTACCAGCATAAAATCTCTGTGCATAGACTTTCCCATCTATAAAATCAGGTGCTGTAGTACCACCTCATACAACGACTGCAAGAGTTAAATGAGATGATGTATTTAAATAATTTAACACAGTGTCTGTCACAGAAAAATGCTAATTTAAAGTTTACCTGTTATTTTTAAAAAGGAAGCATAGTTACTATGCATGAAGCTTTTAGATAAATATAATGAATGGGCTTCTGTTTTAAATTTAAATTATTTACATTTTTCTGTAGCTTTTTAGAAGTACCCTCCATCGAGGCTGCCTACAGAGTAATTAACTACCCAGAAGGGCAGAAAAAAAATCATTTCAATTTTAAAAATTGTTTCAAGATTTCAAAGATGAAGAATCATTCAATTGAATTGATTCTTATTTCACTTAATTTCACTTATCCTATTTATTTATTTTTCCTGTCATCTCCATTAGATAAAAAGCAGCCTAGGAATGAATATTGTTAGTTCTATCTTTGCCCTTGTTGGAGTGATTCTGTTACTGGTGGATATGATCATCAATGACGTAGATAATCAAGCCTATTGTACAGAGGTAAGTATCCCATAATCTACCACATGCCTGCTCTCTTTTCATTCCCATAGAGTGGGTCTATTTTTCATCTTTTATTATTGTACAGTAACTCTAGTGGAAAACCTATTTTTCTATTCCAGCACTACCCCAGTCATGTGATCTCCAGGACTATAGAATAAAATGGGAGAGTTACCTCTACAAATAAGATAGTTATCTTACAAATAAGGTAGTCAAGTTATTAGGTGACTTTTCTTATTTTAGAGTAAGAATGGGGTGAGAGAAAAATGTCAGTGACAAGGACATCCAATTTTTACTGGAGAAACCCAAGGAATGAAGCAATTGCAAGATGAAGCATGTGACTCTGAATGTGCTGAAAAAAGAATCACCCATTCATTAGCAGAATACATGCCAAGCATGGACTCTGACCTTAGGAGGAAATGGGTCGTCTCGGGGCTGGAATTCTTATGTGGAAGGAGTGAAGGAATATGGTGCAAAATGAGGCTGGACTGGACGATGGTATTCTGCCTCAACAGCCAAGTTAAGGACTTTGGTCTTCATTCTGAGAACAATGAGAAGCCACAGAAGAGGAGTTTTTTGGTTGGTTTGTTGTTTGGGTTTTTTTTTTTTTTTTTTTTCCAGCTTACCAAAAGCAGAGTTTATTAAATTGATATGGGCTATATATATCTAAAGAAAAAAAGAGAACAACTCTCCTATATATCTAGAAAATAGAACATTAAGACAATATCAACAGCATTTTAAGCCAATAACCACAATAACATTTCCCTTATCAGTTCACTCAGTACTGTGTAATTCTGTTCCCTTGGATCTTAGAATAGCAGTCTTATGAAGCCATCCACTTCTCTCATATTGGGTCTGCAATCCTGACTCCAAACACTAGTATCATCTGAAAGTTGTCTAAGCAACGCCATCAAAAACGTGGACCTAAGAGTCTGTCCTTTTTTTTTTTTGTCCTTTTTGAGACCGGCCGCACCGCGCTCAGCCAGTGAGCGCTGTGAGTGCACCGGTCATCCCTATATAGGATCCGAACCTGCGGCGGGAGCACTGCTGCGCTCCCAGCGCCGCACTCTCCCGAGTGCGCCACAGGCTCGGCCCAGAGTCTGTCCTTTTAAGTGACAATAGTTTGAAGTACCCTTGTCCACCAGACTTTGCAATGATCCTTCTTTGTTAAAGATACAGAAGAGTTTTAAGTAAGGAACTGGAACAATCTCATCTTGTTTTGAAAAGACCACTGTTTGCATTGTAAAGAGGAGGTTATAAGGAGGCAATAATAGATGAGGGAAACTCTTGGTAAATAAGGAGGAATGAAGCAAGAACAAAAAAATTCATCCTCTAAGGGACCAAAGAAAAAGAACAAAAATAATTCAAAAAACAGATTTTAAGCTGGCATCCAAGTAGGGAAACAAATCCTAATGTGACTCAGGGTGGCAGAAGAAAGCACAGCTCCTAGCCCTGGTCCTTACTCCCCAGAAATAAGTCCAAGGAAAGAGGAGAAGCCTATAGACACTGACAAGTCTCAGTAATGCTCTCCAATCTGGAGCTAAGAAGATGGAGATGGGTCTTTCAGTTCTGAGAGGACAAAGCAAATTCTGTATGTTAGAAGCCTTTGAGTAGCACCCCAGAACCCCAAGAGAAAGAGGAAAAGTCACCAGATTTAAAACCTTCCAGTGCACTTCGCTGACATGCAGGAATGAGCAGAAACCCACAGGAACAGAATACACTTCCAGCCATGGAGCAGGCCTTAGGATCAGGCATTTAGTCACTCTTAGAACAGAGAGAAAGCAAAGTCCATGTAGACTAACAAGAACTGTGCTCAGTGCCAGCTAAGTAAGTTCTCTCTCTCCCCGCAATAGCTGCTTGATGATAATTCAGAAAAATGGACATAAAACAATATCTAGCCCTCAAATTGTAGCTGGAAAGAAGGAAAACAAATTGGAACCAGGTAAGTGGAAGGGTGAATCAAGGAAAATTCACCTATACCATATCTGAATAAACAGATGGCAATCTTAATACTTTATTGCAAAATAGGAAATAAGGCTGGCAGGTTAGAGTGTGGTATTACATCACTGGACAGCTGCAAAAAATCAAGGAAAATTCACCTATACCATATCTGAATAAACAGATGGCAATCTTAATACTTTATGGCAAAATAGGAAATAAGGCTGGCAGGTTAGAGTGTGGTATTACATCACTGGACAGCTGCAAAAGAAAAAAATCAAAACAAAGTATGATTCCATTCTTAGAGAATATTTCTCTCTCTTACTCTTTCTTGCTCACTGTCTCGTTCCCTCTCTTGCTCTCTTTTTTCCTCTTTCACGCTGTCTCTCCATGCGTCCATTATCCTATTTACCTTCTGCTAATACATAGAAATCTAGAATAATTGTCATCAAATATTAACTTTGTTTATTTCTAGGCAGTTCCATTTGGCACGATTAGTTGGTTTCTATATCACTTGATTTTTTTTAATGAGTAGGTAACATTTTTATAAAAAAAAGGAAGTCACTGCAAAGAAAAAAGTCTGTCTCCTTTATAATATTTCTAAATGCAATAGTCTACTCACCAAAAGAAAAGTCTTCTGGCATTTTAAAGAAAATCCAAAATAAATTCACATTCCCCTGAAATAAGCATTGGATGGTAATGGAAAAATGATCATAGAGCAAGTTGAGTACAAGCAATAGCACATTTGATGAGCTAGTAAGTTTTCAAAGCCCATGTGAGACCCACTGATTAGCCACAATTTCTCTGTGTTTATTTCTGATTTTAGCTGCCTGGGAAAGGAATTTCGGCCATGCTGATGATCTTCTCCCTCTTAGAGTTCTGCGTAACTTGTGCCACAGCCCATTTTGCCAACCAAACAATTGCCAACACCAACAGGGTGAGTTGGGTCTCCTCTCTGTAAAATAATCTGAATATGTGCTAGAGAAATACAGACTTGTGTCTGCTAAATCCCCCTATGGGCTTACCAGAGTGCTCTTTGTTTTTGACTTTGATGGGACTAGGAGAAGTTGAGTAGAATTATAGTAATAATATTGTTTGTTTTAATTTTTTTTTCCAGTCTGTCCTGGTTATTCCAACTGTGTATTCAGCCAACCCTTTGACAACAGAAACTTCCTCAACTCCTCCCAGAAATGACAACGACCCAGCTTATGACCCTAGGTATTAAAAGAAAAAGGGGCAGCCGTCCAATCTCATGGAGTAAAACCGCCCTGCAGAAACTTCTTAAGAAGGTGGCTTTTATTGTCCATGACGATTGCTAATCTTAAAGACTGTATTTGAGATTTGTTCTTAGGTTCATCACTAATGATAACTATATTTCCCTGTCACTGTCTCTTCCTACATAACATTACTACACACTGGAAAAAGTGAAGGGCCAGAGGACTAAAAAATGACTCCACACCTTTCTTAATGTTAGAATTTTACCTGTTCACACTACCCTTTCCTCAATAAAATGCCATTAAGAACATGAGATTTCTTGGTATATTTTTTAAATACATTTTGGTTTGACATTGGTTGGAGAGCTGTAGATCTGATAAAACACTGTAAATCAGACCAACAAAGTTCCTTTGATGTTGATTTATTTGCAGGGTACCTATGTATCTGGAGTTCCTCTACTCCTCTCCTCCTCCCCTTTCTATGTTCAGAAAGCAAATGCCCAATTGATCTTGTTGGGGGCCACACTATCCTGTACATTAATATCATCAAACATCTTGCCTCTTGGATAACTATGAAGTTTTGCTATTTACAGAGTATTTTCACTTATATTAAACTTATTTGCAATGGGACAAGAGCAGGATCAGGACAGTGCATTAAAGGGGTTTTATTTTGAGCTTGGCTTTTTGTTTTTGAAATGGGAGAAATGAGGGCATGTTTAAAAGCCAATCAAAACAATCCAGGTGAGAGAGGGGATGAATGACAGTGTAAGTTTCAAGATAGCAAAAGTACAGATGGAGAAGGTGGCCAAAGTCATCAACAAGGGCAATTTCTCTACATAACTGAAAGAAGAAAAGATGTAACTGTTGCAGATATCCATAGGTCTGCGATAATGGTAGTGAGTGCATAAGGAGGGTTCAAAACCCGGCTCATGTTGTCTCTGTCAAAGTAGCAATGAGGTTATACCCAAGGTGGGGGGCACAGGTAGAGTCAGAATATTGAACAGAAGGGGTAATGTTGGAAAAGTCATAAAAATGTAGAATAAACTAATCAGAGAAACAATGGAAGATTGCCAAACTGTCCTAAGGGCACATTCAAGGGGTGATAACAAATTTATAGTATGAACAAATTGCTCCAGCAGGGCTTGACTGTTCAGATATGGATACAGAGAAAATATCTACTTGATTTCATCCAGAGTTTTGCTAGAGGGGATGATAAAATAGCAGAGAGGCAAGAAAGCTTAGAAGATTATCAAAAATATTACTTAAATGATGGACTAAAAATCTAAACTGGATAGAGAGAGAAGTAAAAAAAAATCTAAGAATCTAAACTGGATAGAGAGAGAAGTAAAAAAAAAAAAAAAAAGAGATGGGTTGATCAAAACTTGAGATATCTGCCTTTCCTCCACTGGAACTAAAAATCTAAACTGGATAGAGAGAGAAGTAAAAAAAAAAAAAAAGAGATGGGTTGATCAAAACTTGAGATATCTGCCTTTCCTCCACTGGAATTGTTGTGAAGATCAAATCAGATAATGTTATATGAAAATGATTTGAAAATAGCAAAGTATTACCCTTTCTTGAAGCGTTCATATTATTAAAGAAGCCAAAGGTGGAGGAAATATAAGAAAAGAGTAGGCAGAGAAACCAAAATCAGGAAAAAGGCAGATGAGAAGAATAGAATTTTTGCATCCAGAAAAGCAAATTTATTATGTCAGATGACAGCCACATAGTTTCAAGGTTCTTGTCCTGCCTGGGTCCCAACTAGTTAGCAACTTGGTGATAGCAACTTGGAGTGCTGTGTCCTTCACCATGAAACTCAGCAGCTCAGCAAACATGAAGACACGTACTCTGGGCCGGCCCAGTGGCGCACTGGTAGAGTACGGCGCTTGGGAGCGTGGTGGCCCTCCCGCCGAGGGTTCAGATCCCATATAGAGATCGGTCTGCTCACTGTTTGAGCGCGGTGCGGGCGCGACACTGAGGGTTGCGATCCCGTTACCGGTCACGAAAAAAGACACGTACTCCATGGTCAGAGGGTTTAGGAACTAAATGGTGCCCCAAAAATGTGAGGAGGGGTAGTATATTGTATACCCATACATATAAAATAAATAAATATAAAAGTAACGCTTGCTTTCGGGAGCAGAAGCATTTCTAGCAAACTTGATTTTTTAAATACATTTCTATTCCACTTTTCCACTTTGTTTAAGTAATAGTAATAATGATAATAGCAAATATTTAGCCCACTCTATTTGCCAGTCACATTCCAAGCACTTACATATATTAACACATTTAATACTCGCAACAATCCTGTGAGGTAGGTACTATTAACAGCATCATTGTCAGATAAAAAAAACTTTGGCAGAAAGGTTAAAAACCTTGCCCTAAGATATGTAGCTAGCAAATGTGAAGCACGGATTTGAACCCAGGCAGCATGGCTCCCAAGTCCAGGTAGTTCTCATCACCACTACTCCCGTTACTCTTATTATCTTAGAATCAGAGATTTGTAGCTCCAAAACAAACAAACAAAAAATGTCTCTCGGGGCCGGCCCGGTGGCGCACTGTGCTAGTGCGCCGCTTGGGAAGCGCGCACATACAGACCGGTTCCCGCTCACTGGCTGAGCGAGGCACGGGGGCAACACCGAGGGT